ATTCACTTACATCGGTGTAAGTATGTGTTAAGTTATATATTTTTTGTGGTATGAATTATAAAAAAAATTGACAAATATTTGGAGAAATAATTTTTTTGACAAATAATTTGACAAATCGAACCGTTAATAATGGTTAACTGTTAACGATTAACCATTTCTTAATGGTTATGTTACGATTAAAAAAATCACACAGCCGTTATAACAGTTAAATGACCTTTTAGACTAAACGGTACGGTTAACCGTCCATGAACAACCCTAATTTAAATTGACATAATTCATTTATAAGTGTAAATATAATTTAAATGCTATATTTTTAATTTATAACATAATGCCAATAATTAATATTTTATATTTTTAAACTCACTTTTTAATAGAAATTTCAAACAATTAAATTTTAAAATGCACTTTTGAACATCACTTTTAAAAGTTCATTTTTACAGTATTTTTAAAAATCATTTTTCAAAAGCAATACAAAATTAGCCTAGAACACCCATGTAACTTTAGTTCCTTTTTTGAAAAAAAAAAATATTTTTACAATTTAGTCCCAAATTTTCTATGATTTTCTTATTTCTCCAATTTCTCATTTTTTAAGATAATTTTGACCAAATTTGAATCACATGTTACTCTACTACTATATAATACCTATATAACTTCAATTCTTATTTTTAATAACAAATTTCTCTTTTTTTTAATTATTTCTCTCAATTTTGTATTTTATTCAGTCTTTTTATTACAATTTTTACAAATTCTTTCTCCACATAAATTATGACTCTTTTGTACTCATATCAATTAGGGATGGGCATGAGACCAAAATCTGATGGGTTTCTACCCGACCCGATCTGATATGGTCATGTTTTTTTAAAAAAATTTGAGGTCGAGTTGGGTTTTTAAATGTGATGTTCGGGTTGGGTTGGATTCGGGTTTAGGGTAAAAATACTCGACCCGAGTCGATCCTAAAAATATAATTTTACCTTATATATTTAGGAATAATTACGATAATACCCTATATATATTATTTTTCAATTAAATCATTATTTTTATTTAATAAAAATAATATTTTTTATTATTTCGGGTCTGGTCGGATTGAGTTTGGATTTTATCTCAAAAAACGGGTCAGGTTCGAGTTGGGTGGAGGGTATATACTTTTCAGATCGGGTCGGGTGAAGGATGTAAAATTTTCGGGTCAGGTCGAATTGGTCGAAACCCGACCCATGCCCATCCCTAATATCAATGCTTTTTCTTGATAGACCATTCTTTGAAAAATAGCACTATAAATATATTTTATAATTTTATACAATATCCAATTTATAAAGATTAGAAATCTTACTTACACACATGTAAAAATGAATATGAATAAGTCTATATGTATATCTTATATGGTTAGATAAAATGACCATCCAGCTCAGTTGGTAGAGCACAAGGTTCTTAACCTTGAGGTCGTGGGATCGAGTCCCACGGAGGGCATTTCATAATTCGGATTGTCTCTTACGGAAGCTGCTCTCAACCTGGTGTTGGGGGTAGCCTACTATCTTACCTTCCCCTTACCCCATACATATGGAAAAAAGGGACATCCATTTTTTTATATGGTTAGATAAATTCGTTTAAATTGGAATCAATTCTTACCACAATATTATAAATAATTACAATTAAATTTAAATATAAACACAAATAACTTGACTCGACTCGAATCAAATTTCATAATCTCGAATCAACTTGAAATGAAAAATCAAATAATCATTGAATGATAAAATATGACCAGTAAACTCAACTAATATGATTTTTTTTTACCTCAACTCAACCGATCAAATAATCACCAATGTAGCTTGGTTGATTAGTCTTTGGGTAAATGCTCTAAGGATTCAATATCTAATTGGTTTGTGAGCTAAGATTGTCTTGGTCCAAAAGAGGATTTTGATGACTTAACGAGTGTTAAAGGGGAGGAGTAGGGGTGTTCAAAATTTGGTTTTAATCGAATTAATCGACCGAATCAAATTAATTTGGTCGGTCACCGAATTAGTTCGGTCGAGGAACGGTTAAGGTTTTTTTGGATATTTGATTAACGGTTAATTCGGTTCGAAATCGGTTAATTAACCGAATTAAAATTTTAAATATTAAATATATTATATATAACATATGAGCTCAACCCAAACCATTTAAAACCCAATTAATAATTTAAGATCCAATAACTTTTAAACCTAAATCAATATTAATTAATTAAAAAATTTATATAAAATTTTTATTTTATAATTATATATTATTTAAATTAATTGTAAACTATTTTTCAGAATTAAAAAATATTAAATATATTATATATAACATATGGGCTCAGTCCAAACAATTTAAAACCCAATTAATAATTTAATATCCAATAACTTTTAAACCTAAATCAATATTAATTAATTAAAAAATTTATATAAAATTTTTATTTTATAATTATATATTATTTAAATTAATTATAAACTGTTTTTTAATTATAAAATATTTAATTTTTATATAAATTAAAAAAATTTAAAATTTTTCAGTTAATTCAAAAATTAATCGAATTAACCGAAATTTATTCGGTTCGGTTAATATTTTCAAAAAAAAGTTTGATTCGGTTAACGGTTAAAGAAAAAAAATTCGGTTAATTCGGTTAATAGTAGTTCGATAGGTTTGGCCACCGAATTAACCGAAGAAGGAAATACACAATTGAGACTCCAACCATATGCACTAGGAGTTTCCATAAATCAAGATTCAAAATTGTTGAAAACAACCTATGGATGGACATGTTCTACATACAAGATGAAGCTACATAGGGGTTAGGATGAGGAGTTGTAGCTGTTAAAATTTTTGGTATAATTGATATTTTAGATCTTTTTTAGTTTAAATATTCGTCAAAATAAGATAGTTGATCTCTTAATTTTTTGATTTATATACTTAATACATTTTTATTCTTTTGAAATAAAATAATTTTACCCCTCAACATTTAGTCTTAGCTTCGACCTTGACACATACTGTCACATATGTCACATGTGTTCTCGTATCATTATACTTTACTAATGGAAACAATCTTAGGGTATAAGTTAAAAGATTTGAATGTATGGTGAATCACTTGTAACTGTTTGTCCCATCATAAAGGCTGAACCTATGTATCTCTTTGCTAGTTAAAGTATTAAGATGACTTATGATCCCTTTGTAGTGTCGAGGTGCCTCATTTTGAATGTTCAACAAGATGGTTTATGTGGTTGTTGGTTATGGTGACTCTTCCATTGGCGGTTGAGATCTCTATCTTGGGACCTAAGCTGGTTCGAACGACAACTCGATCACTTTGATGTTTGGCTTGGTTGATGTCTTATTTGTATTTGTTGCCTTGGAAGAGCACGCTTGAGCTGCTTTTATAACTACCATTTCTGGTTTTCTTTTTGGCAAGTGTTTGGAAGAGTGGGAGAGTTGACCTAGGCAAAAGATGCCATCAGTTGAATGAGATTAGGGGTGGGAATAGGCCAGGCCAGGCTAGGCTTTAATAGGCCTGAGCCTGGCCTACGAAGAATTTTGTAGGCCTGAGCCTGGCCTGTAGTCTGTCAAAGGCTTTTTTTCTGCTCGGCCTGGCTTTTTTAAAAGCCTGGCATGATTAAAAGCCTAATTTTTAACTGCAACTGGAAGAGGCAAAAGTTATGTGCAACCTGAGCTAACATGACCCCATTATGTTTCAACTTTCTCCAATTTCCATTACGCATGTTATTTCACTTTTCCAATAAATCCAACTTGTTTGTGTCTAATTATAATATTAATATTTTACAACTTGTGTGTCCAATTATAATGCAAAATCAGAATCACAAGTTCACAACATGCATGAATATAATGTCTTATTCAATAAAACTTGCGTGAGCCAAACAAAACGCCTATACTTTGTTGTTCCCCAGGCAAGCACCTTGTCCGACAGCAGCTCCCATATTTTGTTGTTCCCCATGCCACACTATGCCCAACAACAACGCCTATCCCCTGCCCATGTTTGACATCAACGCATGAGAAATCAATAAAATTTATCAGCATATATATATATCTAAACATGCCGACCTATCAGGCTTAAAAATAAGCATGAGCCTGGCCTATTTAAGTTAACAAACTTTTAAAAAACCTCGAGCCTGGTCTTTTTATTAAATAGGTCAGGCCTGGCCTATTCCCACCCCTAAATGAGATTAATAGGAGAAATTATTATTAGGTGGTCTCATTTCACAATGTCATTCGTAGTCTCAACCAATAATATTTCTCTATATCATTTTTTTCAATGTGAATATTCATCTCTTTCTTACATGTAAATAAGAGGTATATGGTTATTTTGAAGTTAATTTGCAATTTGTTGCTGTTATTCATTGAGACTATAGATGACATGGTAAATCGAGTTCATAAAATAATTTATCGATCAAGAGACAACTTTGACCAATAAATTAGCTATTCGTGTCAACCTTTTATTGTTGGTATATATCCACTTATTGTAAAACAATAATATTTTCTTAGTTTTAAAATTTCAGTATTAAAATAAGAAACTCATACCTCAATCATAATTTATGCGGCTTCTTTTAGGGTAAACTACACATTTAATACCTCATCTATCACTTTTGTTCCTTTTTAGTTAGTTATTATTTTAAAAAATATATCTAATATTTAATTTTGATTTCAATTTGATCATCCATCATAAACAAAAATGACGGTGTTGATGTGTCACCATAAAATAATTCGTTATTATCATTGAAAAAAATAAGAAAAACATCAGGTCAGAATTTCTATTATATTTTTAATAACTGATGATCAAAATGAAATCAAACGTAACGTTAGATATAATTTTAATAAATATAATTGGACGTTGTAAACAAAATAAAAATGATAGCTAGGATACTACAAGTGTAGTTTACCCTTACTTTAGCCTAAACATTATTGTACCTTAAGCCTAAAGAAAACGATGCTTCCTACACACTAGCAATCGCGAATCCAATCCGAAATGTGAAAACTGGAATTAATTTTCAATTCCATAAAACCCAGTAAAGCAATTGTTAGAGTTATCTTCTGCGTGTAGTTGTTTCTACTTTCTACAAGCGGATTGAGTTTTTGTAACGCCGATACATTTTTTATGGTTTATAAAGCGATTGAAAATTTGCAATAAACGCAATCAGACAGATACCCAAAATCATTCGAGTGTTTCCTCGAATAAAACCGCTCAAGGAAGAAACTAAACACGAAGCCAGAAGATCCCACTTTTCTCTTTCAATTTCCTTATTACTTCCCAAAATCTGGCAACCATAGAAGGACTGAGGGCTCGTTCATCGTTTAAACCTGAAATCTTCGATATTAACAGCAACGACGAAGCGTGTAGGCCTTGGCGTCGCAGGTTGTCAATGGCTTTCACCTGGGGCTCCTCTCTCAGAATCACTCTTCTTCTCCTCCTTCTTGCTGCTATCGTTTTCGCTTGTTTCACCCTCCCCGTTGAAAAGGTTTGGGTTTTCAAGCTTTTTACACGTTTTCTTGATCTGGGTATATTTCTTTTCTCTTGTCTATTCTTTATTTTGCCTTTTTCTTTTGGTTTTCTGATCTGGGTACTTCTTTTTTTCTCCTTTTGGATTGATAATTTGATTTATTTGTTGATTTTCTGGGTTTTTTTAATCCGGGTAAGTTTGTTCCTTTTTGACAAGATTTTCTGGGTTTTTCCTGTTTCTTCCGTTTTGCTTGTTGATTTTTGGGTGTTTGTATTGATTAAGATTTGAATGTCGAGGTTACCTATGTAGTGCATTTTGGGGGCTGTTTGTATACATTACTTCATATTCATGATTTTTAGGGCATGATGTTATAAGTGCAAATTTGTGATTTTGTTCGTAGGTTTGATGATTAATTTACAACCAAGGCTCTACTTTTGAACCTAATGTAAAACAAGCTAATTGTATACCATTTCTGAAACTAAAACAAATGGCAAAGTTTGGGTAAATATAAGCCAATAATTATGAGGAATACAAGATTAAGTAGGGTCATGCTTGGTTTTAAAAAGCGTAAAGCGCCCTAAAGCGCCTAGGGTCCTAGACGCCTAAGCGCTAAGCGAAAGCGCTCGCTTTATGCACAAGAAGCGCCAAAAAGGCCGAAATTCACAAAAAAATACAAAATATTTATAAATTATCTTATAAATACTTAAATATCAAAGTGTCAATACCATATATTCAAAACTTATAAGTACTTAAACACCAAAATATAATTCTCAATTTACTTATAACTTATAAGTTATAAACACTTAAATACTTATATACGATTAACCATACGACTATACGAGCATACTAATCTCAAAAGATGGTCTACACTAAAAGTAGTCTAAAGTGAGATGAACAAAAGTATTTTTCTAAACCCTCAATTCCTTATAACTAAAAATCCTCTAAATCGTCATCGTCATCAACTCGGACAACACCATCTCCTTCATCACTAGACACTCCAATATCTTCTTCCATCTCATCTTCATCAACTAAGCATCTACGAGATGGTCTACTAGAGATAGGATTATGAGAAGGAGATTTTCCTTTATCATTTCTCGATGGTCCCGCTCCATCATTCACTACTTTTGATGCTCTAGTTAGATAACTAGGCTCATATGCACCGGAAGCGTTAGCAACATCACTCTATGTCAAATCCTTACCAACAAACACCGCCTCATCATCATCTTCATCTTCTTCCATTCTTCCCATCAACCACTCATTGCTCTCATCAATATCTTGCAAAAGAATGGGATCGGTCTCCTTACTTTTAGCTCGGCGCTCCAAGGCATGATTGAATTTCACAAACACCATGTCATTCAATCTAGATTGTGCCAATTCGTTTCTTAGTGTGAAGCTACAAGAAAAAAAAAACCAAAACTGATAATTTAATAGCCCTCTAAACCTAAATAAGCCCAAAAATTGTATCTGCTAAAGCCCAGAATCGTATCTTCTAAACTCGCGATTAAGCGCCGATTAGCGCTTTGCTAAAAGCGCTGCAAAAGCGCCGATTACTATCGCTTAATGAATTCGTAGTGCTTTTGCTATGCTGAAGCGCCAGGGGCCTCGCTCGCGTCGCTTAGCGCTTTAATCGCGCTTAAGCGGCGCTTTTTTAAACTAAGGGGTCATGAATTCTTAAGGATTTCGGTTCTCCCTAGCTTTCCAAATATTATCTGTTAGTGCAATTACCCAGTTGGCTTTTCCCTCTATGTTGATGAAAACAAGTTTTTTTTGCAGATTCTGAAGGATTTTCTGTTATGGGTTGACAAGGATCTTGGACCTTGGGGTCCACTTGTGCTGTAAGTCGCATGAAATCCTCCTGACATTCCTTTACGCTTCCATTAGCATCTATTTTTTTGTTTACTTTACGCATTGCATTTGATTTGCTATTTTATCAATCTAATAAACGAAATATATATTGTTCATTGCTGTCAAGACATTTTTCAACTGATTAGTTGTGAATAAAAATATCATAACGTTTTTCCTTTCAACTCATATTTCTTTGTTGACTTGCAGGGCTGTTGCTTACATTCCTTTGACAGTCTTGGCGGTTCCAGCTTCAGTGCTTACTGTAAGCATTAAACTCCTTTACTAATGCTTCATTGTAGCCAAATCATTGCCATTTTTGAGTATGAATTCCTTTCTTGTTCATGCTATTTTAACTTATCATTGGTGTCTCCCTCGTATGTCTGGAGTAACAATCCAAGATCTCGCATTCATTCTTAGTGGTTGCCTTCTGTAGACCACGGATAGTGCCCTGCCCGTGCAACTTACTACTATTTTAGGATTTAAATCCATTCCAGTCAGTTCTTGATGCAGATTATTTACTGTACATGGCTCTTTCAGGAATCTGTCGCTCAAGCCCTATATGGAAGAGTTAATTACAAGTTAATAAACTTAGTATTTGTTGCTAACTTGCTATTGATGAGTTAGTAGCCCTGTGTAAGCATCTGGATCTGGACGGAAGGTTCCTTTGCAATTACTGTTGATAAATTACGCACAAACATCTAGAAAAATGATATGGTGCATTGTGGCTCTTGTTAAATTGATACTTTTTGGTAAAATTTATGCTGCCTATTGGAAAAATTTAAACTTAAACAAACCATTTTAACTCAATTTTGTTTGTCATTTGCCTGAGAAGATCAGAAGAGTAATGTATGATTGACTAGCGTTCTTACAGTTAATGTGACATTATAACCCTATAATCTTTTAACTTTTTTCTTATTTATCTGCAACCTGTTTCTTAAATTTCTTGTTATTACATGACATATCTTACCTGCATGTACAGTTGTAGATTGAAACCTCCTTCCTAAGATTAAACGAGAGATGAACAAAATTTAACCTTACCAAGTACTTTGTTTTATATTTCAGCTTGGTGGTGGCTATCTTTTTGGATTGCCTGTGGGCTTCGTTGCAGATTCTATTGGTGCAACTCTTGGTGCAGGAGCGGCATTCCTTCTTGGAAGAACGGTATGTTGATTTTTATGTGATTTTTAATTGTCTTATTACTTTACCATCCATGGACAAGAGCAACTTATTGATAAGTTCGATATAAACTTAGTCACTTGCTATATATTTACTTCATTTTCATATTTTATAAGTTCTAGCATGTCTTGTTCAATTTTCATCTTATTATGTTGTTCTTATACAGATTGGGAGGTCATTTGTTGTATCTAAGTTAAAAGATTATCCTCAGTTCCAGTCAGTTGCAATTGCAATACGAAGATCTGGCTTTAAGGTTTGTAATATTCTTGTTAGTTTCTAAAGGATGACTTGTTTTGTAGGATACATCTATCTTGAAGTCTTTATTAAATTTAATCTATTTGATAAGCTTTGGCTTAAATCATGCTAATTGCATCAGAACGAGTTAATATATGTGATTATATCTCTGACTTAATGAAAACACCATTAGCCAAACAGTGGGAAATACAAAATTTTCTCTTCTTCCAAGGTTTGAAAAGTTCGAGGAACTTTGAATTAATATAAGAAAAGTGTCTTTTCAGGCTTTCAGTAAGTGATGTTTCGGATACAAAATTTAATCTATTCAAGCATTTTTGCTCATTGAATCCATTTTCTGTGGTTTCGAGTTCTGGAGGGTTGTATTTTTTCAAGAAAAACTGAAACTACTATCTAAAATTCGCCTGATGGTTCTTTATTTATTGTTTGAAAAACTGACAGATCTCTAAATTTTCATCTGTTGGACAGATTGTTTTCTTGCTTCGACTTGTACCCTTACTCCCATTCAACATGATGAATTATCTGTTGTCAGTGACTCCGGTTCCAGTTCTAGAATACATGCTGGCCTCCTGGTTAGGAATGATGGTATTGGCATCTCAATTTACTATCATTTTCTGCTTATTCTTTCCAAGAATTTCAGCTTGCTATTTATTTGTGTTTCAGTTTTTGGTGGTTTTGTCATGCTTCGGATTTAACACTGTGAATGGTGTTTGTTACAGCCAATAACCCTTGCTTTAGTTTATGTCGGAACAACTCTTAAGGATCTTTCTGATGTGACACATGGATGGAGCGAGTTTTCAACTACTCGTTGGGTAAGTCTTGTTATTTATCTTCATATGCACAAGTTTTCAACAGTGATTCACCGATCAGCACAAACCGAAACCTGGGGTGCATTTTCATTTTTATATTTGACAATCCTAATTAGGACAACGAAGATGCTTTACTTGCTTCATCTCAATTCTGTCATGTGTTCTTACCAGCCATATTTGCTTTATGAATGCAGGCATTTCTCATAATGGGCCTTTCCGTGTCTGGTAAGCTGCAAAGCACTGAATAAATGATATTTTGCACTGAATAATACTTTTAAGCCATAATTTTTGTGTGTTACTGAAACTCGGATTAACATACGGTATGTGTTCGGCATGGGAATGTTCAAATTTTCGTTAACATATTTTTAATGGGTTTGGAGGATATTTATTAGGCGCTAGAGTCGGATACAAAAAAATTATGGAAATGAATCCTAGTGACAGAGATAAAGTGATATAGGATCTGCTAGATGATGGACATGAAAATGATTTACTCACCTTTATTTGGTTAGTACTTTAAATTTAAGAATAAACAAATAGTCGAGAAAAATACTTGGAATTTACACAAAACTGCAGCTATGTAACTGAACCAACCTGTGTTTTTACAGTTCGGACCTTTTGACCCCCATGTATTTAATTTATGCAGTGGTTTTAATAATTTGTGTGACCAGAGTTGCCAAATCGGCTCTAGATAAAGCCTTGGCTGAAAATGAGGATATCGATAGCATCGTAGGCGCGCCGCAGTTGCCTATTGTTAGAGAAGCACTCCACGAGCCTCTTATAATTAAGATAGACGGAAGCGACGATACTCATGAAAAATGAAGTAAAATTACCTGTAAATTCTTGTCTCCTTTCTTTATTTACTGTGGTTCTAGTTTTTCATAGAAATAGCTGATTATACAATTGAGAAATTGCTGAGAATAAGCCATTTAAGTTTAGGTTGCTGAATGAAAATCAACGAAACAATTGAGAGTATGCTCTGATATAGAGCTAGCTTTCTTGCACTTCATGTACACTTTTTTCATGTATTTATACAATTCTTGAACTTTAATATCTCTAAAGTTAGGTTGTTGAAGTATGTTCAGAGTGAATTCGGATGTTTGAGGTATAGTTTATTCAATGTCATACGAAATAGGTCATAAGGAAGGGTAGTTCCACGTTACAACCTAGAATTTAAGGTTACAAATGGCAGAAATGGGACATAACAGAAAATGCGATAAAAATACATAACATTTTAATTGGATGCAGTCTAAAATGTTACTTTCTTATGTTGCAACTGAAAACGTTATACACTAAATGTGAAAGCATTTTCTTTTGAGGAGAGGGAATGAGAACAAATTCTCTCATTTTTTATCTATGTTTTGGTTACTTGATGGGATATTTTTAAGGTAAATTACGTATTTAATATTTAAACTATTATTTTAGGCATTAAATATATAATTTATCCTATTTATTATTATTATTATTATTATTATTATTATTATTAATTTTCACAATATAATATTTTTAATTGTTTCATTCGACCAATAATTTACCCTATTTATTATTATTATTTTTAATTTTCACGTTATAATATTTTTAATTGTTTTATTCGATCAATAAGATGATATGTGTCGAACAGAAGCAAAGGAACCATAACCTTTTTAGAAAGGGGCTAGACTCTTAGTCATTGGGCTAAACATATTCTCTAAAAATATTTTTCTTGTTGAATCTTACATTTGTTTGTCTTATTAAAATTAATATTTAATTTGTATAATTGTTAAATTAAAAATAAAATTATTTTTAACTTAATTTGAGAACTGCGTCTACGGAGAAAGAATATCTTTAATATAAGAATACATTATTTATGTTATAAAATATTGATATTAATATTAATATTTTATGATATAAATAATATTTATATATTAATTATAAAATAATTTATAACATAAATGATAAAAAATATAATTTATGTTGTAGATATATTAACATAAAATTAAAGGAATTATTTGTCAAATATAATAGAATTGTTGTTAAAGAAATTATTGTTGTTCTTAGAGGTCATGAGTTCGAGCACTAGCGACTGCAACAGGATGACTAAGTGTTTATTGTCAAACGATTGAAGAGTATTTGGAATAGATACTACCTTTATAATAACCTTAACTTAATCAATATATATATATATATATATATATATATATATATATATATATATATATATATATATATATATATATATATATATACACATATATATATTAATTTGGATTGGTTATTAAGCATCACACGAACATATGACATGTAACATGCTTATACTACATCAAATATATAAGAATATATTATATGTTATCATTGTAAGCATAAGACATGTTATATTATCACTTTAAACACACGATTTATGTATACATAGTAATATCATATCAATAATTTGAACATATAAAATTTGTTATGTCAACAACAAATGTTGATCAATTAATAGAATTTATACCTAAAATGAAATGTTAAGATTAAAGTATTTTAAAAAATAAGGACTAAAATGATCATTCGATCAAACATTAAAGATGAATTTTATTATTAAAAAATTAGTTCCATAATACTACATGGAGAAATTAAATCATGTAAAAAAATGTATTTTTTTAATAATTGAAAAAAATAATGTGTAATTTTAACTTTTTAAAAAATATGAGTTTTTATATCTCATTCCATCTTCCTCTCTTCATTTCATCCTTTCCATTTCCTTCTTCCATTTTCCTCTCCAAGTGCCTAGCTCAAAGGTAAGATTTTGAGAACATTTGATATTTCTTTTAAGCTTCAATTTCATCCTTAATCCCTTCAACAAACTTGTTTTGAAGTTTCAAAGCCTTGGGTTCTTTATAGCTAAAGAGAAAGTGAGAGTTTTCATCCAAATCTTAGAGGAAGGGAGTGTGGCTAAGCAAGGAGCTTTACTTCGGGATCGTAGCACCAAGACAGTGTATTTCTAATCCTTTGGAGTGTTAAGGCTTTCATAAATATGAAGAATTGCTAAGATTTGTGTATTTAAGCATTTTAGGGTTTGTACTTTATTTCATGTTTAAATGACATTTTAGATGTAAAAAAGATGTTTTTATGTCACTTTATGACCCTAAGTAACATTCTAAAGCATTATCACATGATTAGGATCCAAGCTAAGATATTTGGGATGATTTCCCAAGCTTAAATAAGACATTTCTAGATTCAAGTATTGATAATGGATGAACAATCGATACTGGATGAACTAGGACAAAAATTTAGGGATTCCAACTGGGAATATCGATACTTCTGGGGAGAGTATTGATATTGCCCATGCAGTATCGATACTTAGGGTAATAATATCGATAATATACTACTTTTTAGCAAACAAAAGCCATTTTTGGTAGTGATACTCATAGGGTTATCGATACTTAACCCTAGGGTATCAATATTGCAAGTAGAGTATCGATACTACCCACTTTAAATGGTTAAAATTGACCTCGTTAAGACCCTTAAGATTTAAGGATGATACCTAATGGTAAAACTTAGTTCGTGAGGGACATAAAAGGCTAAAGAGACTTGAATACACTCGTAGAAGTGGGTTATAATCGAAGTAACCATAGTAGGCATAATACGATCAATTATCTTCAATAGAACACGTAGCGAGTATCTAAGAATGAAGGATCATTGCAGAGGATGTATTGGCAAGCGGTATGACGAGTCAATCAGATTTTGAAATAGAGGAGTTATGTACTGCAAGAATGTCAGTGAATGGTGAACGTACAATTGTCCTTCCTATTCAAGGATTATTTGAGGGAAATCGTAGTAAGAGTGAATAGAGTGTTGCTACCCAGTAATGAACCTTAGTTAGGTACCAGGCTAGCTAGTGTCACAGATAATGAACAACAAACACAATAATCAATGTTAAGTCGTGAAACAAATAGAGACATCATTAAAGATAGAAGTGACTAAAATATCCTTAAGTAACGAATGACCATAATAGAGTAACTTAATAACTAACAGAAGTAATAGACTAATAAACCTTTGCATAATATTCTAGGTAAGATAACGAGCGAGATAACAACTAGTGAGAGGGTGACCTCACTTTAGCGTGTAATATCCTCAATACCAGGTTAGTGACCAAATTATAAAATTTCAGAATTTGGTGATTAAAGTAGAATAGTTAAATAGTTAAATGATTTATTTGGGGATATTTCTTGAAATTTTTTAGTAATTATCAAAAGAATTAAATGGCAAAATGGTCATTTGACAAGAAAGATATTTTCCCATTTTTATCAATGATTCACGTGGGGAGAGTAAGATGAAAACATTTAATCTTCTTCTTTCTTTCTTCTTCTCAAACCGTGGAAGCTAGGCAAAGGTAAGTTTCTTCAATAGTTGATTATTTGTCCAATTAAAGGTTGGGTTTTGATCATTATATGATAATTAAGCTTAATGAAAGTTTAATTTGTTCTAAAACAACAAGATGAAAGGTATAGGAGAGATTAAAGATTTTGATTTTTTGAATGAAATCTTGAAATAGAGTTGATAAGTTGAATTTTAAGTTGAATTTTACTTGTCATCTATAAGGATAAGAAGTTAGAAGTGTTAGAATTAAGTTTGGATAACATGGAAAATTTGGTATGATTATTGATTTCTATATGGAGAATAGAATTTTGAGGTTTAAGATGAAATAAATGGATATAAATTAGTTTAAGTATGTATATTTGAGTTAAAAATATAAAAAGGGATGAAATATGAAGAATTGAAGTGGAAATAGAGAATTTTCGTGCAATTAACAGTGATTTCTGGGCTTGAACGAAAATTTCAGATTGTGCAGGGGGAACAGATTCCCCCTGGGGGGTATCGATTCCCCCTAAAGAAAAAAAATAGAATTTTGGAATTTGGTTCATTAAACTAGCTTAAGTTATTAACATTAAGTTTGAGGTTTAGGTTTTTGATAATTGTTTTGAAATGTTATATTTATGTAGATATTGAGCCTAAACAAGTTCCAAAATAATCAAAAGATTAGGATCAAATCAGAGCAAGGCTAAGGTGAGTGCAATTTAATTATACTTATGCTATCGAAAAATATTGGCTTGCGATGAGCCAATGACAGAGTTACTATGGTAAGAAGTGACTCCTAAATTGTTATATGATTGATATGATTTTTATGAGTGCATTTTAGTTTATAGGATTATAATGAATTGGACTTGTGATAAGTCTATTTCCAATAGTTATAGTGTATGGAGAATTGATTATAAGGATGTGAATGACATGAAATGTATGTATACTTGATTATAAATTGATATGTGTTATATGTGCTATGTGATTTATGTGATATACCATATGTGAAAATAAAATATGAACTATAGGAAAGGATTATATGAGTATGTGAAAACGATGATTCAAAGTATATGTGACCTACGTACATGAATAAATGACAAATGATATAACCATATGAAATGATCTACATGTAATATGTGATTACATGCACTTGTGATACATGAATTATATGATATGAGATATATGAGAAAAGGTACATGTGATATGAGAATTGACATGAACTACGTGAAAGGAAACTACTTGATTACAGACATATGTGAACGAAGCTATGAGCTTATATGAATATGTGAAATGATAAATAATAATGCCCATGTTATATGATACGAGAGCTATAGGTATAGTTGGCATCCCAAGATTCAAGGGTTTCATAGGTCATTCGGGATAATACAGTGGTCTTTCGGGACAATACAGTGGTCCTTCGGGACAAATTTCATATGCCACTCAGTGGGAGTTATACGAGCTGTGGTGACAGCATTAGTGAACAACCTCAATGTACTCACATACCTTCAGTTCTCAATAGTGTACATGGGCTAACAAAGAAATTTAATAAGTACACTGAATATGATATGTATATGTGATTGGTTATATGGAATAGATCACAGGATTTATTTAATGGTGTATTGCTTGGTTAATGCATGATATGTTATGTATAAGAGT